GCTCTGCAGGGGCCATGCCCAGTTCTAAGAGTCACTGAACTCCGCTTGGCCGGATGCTATGGTCTTCTATCAGGCATATTTGGTTCTCCCTGTCCAAATGCAGTTCACCGCTCAGGGGTGCGTTTGTACCAGCAACACAGCAACGTACTTCACAGACCACCTTATCAGGTTGCCAGGGGAACAGAGCCGGAAAGTTAACATAAGGTCAAATTCTCATGCAGAAGGGGAAAGGATTTTGTTAACTCTTTACCCACATGGAGGTTTTCTGCCAACTTTATCAAAATGGATTCTTTTAATACCTTCTTAGATTATACTTGCTAATCATTTTTTGAGGGCTTTCGCATTGGTATTAATATCTGAGATGAGCTGTGTATACGTGTGTATTTTTGTGCACATATGAGAAAGCTATCTTTTCAAGTTTAGATACTGACTTCTTAGTAATAATTTGTAAGAACTCTGTTTTTTTTGAGGGGGGTTAAAGTACACTTTTTTGATGAGGAAGATGGGCCCTGAGCTAACATCTGTTGCCAATCTTACTCTTTTTTTTTCCTTTCTCCCCAAACCCCAGCACATAGTTGTATATTCTAGTTGTAAATCATTCTAGTTCTTCAGTGTGGGACGCCGCCTCAGCACAGCTTGATGAGCGGTGCCACATCTGTGCCCAGGATCCAAACTGGTGAAGCTGGGCCACCGGAGCGGAACACGAACTTAACGACTCGGCTGCAGGGCCGGCCCCTTTTCTGGTATTTTAGAAGAGTTTAGATAGTGCTGGCTTTACGTACAGTTGGAAGGAAGATAAGCTCTGACGGCAGTGTACCTGTAGCCGCCGTGTACAGGCAGACAGCTTGTGACACTTATCAGGCTATTCTGTAAAATCATTACACGTGATCACTTGCGAGGCACAGCATACATCCAGATAAAGGGAACACCGTTGTAAAATGAAATGTTAGGGTGTTTTATTGCTCCTTGTTGCTTTCATAAGGTATCTTAAGAAAGAGATGGGTTCATACAAGAACTGGCTGTTTTGAAAGCAGAAATGGAAGGAAAGGAGAATGTCCAGAAATTTCAGGCTTCCCAGGGTTGAAAAAGAAAACTGCTTTTATGCCCCAAACATTAATATAAATGAAGGGATCCAAGCCTTGTGGTGAGGATCGAAGTAAGGGAGTTGTCCCAAACCCCCTGTTATTCCAGCTAGCCTCAAGGGGGCCTCCACTAACATGCAAGAGGAGGGATGGACGGGGGGAAAGCAGAGAAACACAGCAGGCTTAAGAACTGGCACTAGCAAAGATTTTGGTTATGGCTATCTGCACAAGGAACTGACTGGAAGCAATTAGATCAGAACCTTTTAGGGTTTTAAAGAAATTGTAGCCACAGAAACCATGAGTCTGGCCTGAAAACGTGCTCTCTGTTAGCTCCTTAAAGCAATGCTCAGGCTTCCAATTTGTACCAGCAGAAGGAGAACTGTCAGTGATGTCCAGCCCCAAGGAAGGCATAGGCTCCAGCAGTCACCTCTGCCGCGGCCTTGGAAGATGAATGGACAAGCCGAAGAGCAGGCATGAGCCGACTGTGCACCAAGGCACGTCCCCCACCACCAGGGCTGAGAAGCCTCGAGATTCCAGCTCAGCCTCCAGGCAGAGTTACTACCAATGAGGAGCTGTGTGTTCCTCATCCTTCTCTTTTCTTACCAGGAGTTTCCAAGGCAGTAACCCTGTCCCCATGCAACCGCTGCATATGGAATGGGGGAGCAAGCGCTTGCTTAACGGTTTGCATGACCCCAACTATGAGAACTTGATAGAGAAAACACATCTTTTCTCCCCCTGCCTGGACACCGCCCCACCCCACACCTTCACTTCATTATCTCTGCTCAGATGTCACCTCCGTGGAGGTGACGAGTCACTCCTAACATCACACCACCGCCTTCCATCACCTCATCCTTCCTGCCCCCTCTCTTTGTGGCATTGACGGTCTCATGCCGTCACCACAAAGTAAACTCTTTCAGGGCACAACTTCCCAGCTGAGGTCCTTGCAGCTAGAAGGAGCCGATCCGTCGTGGGCCCTCAATAAATATCCGTTGGAAAAAAAGACTAAATAAGTAAGAGCTTCTAATTTCCAAGTGTTTGAAGTTGTGTTCGTTTTGTTCTATTTTGTTGTTTGTCTGTATCACATTGTGACCCATGATAGATAATCATTGTGTGTGAGGAAACTGGGATTGCTGCTTGCAAGGTGCTGTTGCCCAGCGTGAAACCTAACCAGAAGGTTATCCTACTGGAAAAGCACAGACATTGCTATAAGCAAGCTGTTTTGCTCTGGTTCTTTCTTGTTTTTTAAGACTGAGAGTGTGAACTGTCGCTCCCATGGGAGCCCCATCTCTTTTTGGAATGCTCACTGGTGGTCACACTGCAGCATCCTGACCAGTCAGACCCTGGAATTCCTTTAGTCTCCTCATCCCATGATGCACAGGGACTGATACACTCAAGGGAGACGCTAAAGTTCACCAGGCAGAACTTAACCCAATCCAGTCGGGTCTATTTAACATTGGCTGAATTTAAGTCTTGGGCCAGGCCTTGTGCTGGGTACAAGGATGTAGTGACAACTGCCCTTGTCCTGCCATTGTTTCAGTTAGTGTCTCTGGGAAGCCCAGAGTGGCAGAGAAGCAATGACAACACAATGCATTAAGAGTTATTCTAGGGGGCTGGCCCAGTGGTGCAGTGGTTAAGTTCACACGCTCTGCTTTGGGGGCCTGAGGTTCGCTGGTTCAAATCCTGGGTGCGACCTACACACTGCTTGTCAAGCCATGCTGTGGCAGGCATCCCATATAAAATAGAGGAAGATGGGCATGGATGTTATCTCAGGGCCAGTCTTCCTCATCAAAAAGAGGAGGATTGGTGGCAGATGTTAGCTCAGGACTAATCTTCCTCAAAAAAAAAAAAAGTTATTCTTGTGGGGGCACAGGGTTACAGAAGCACATTCCACAGGAGTCTCCGCCAAGCAAAACATCCAACATGCTTCCTGGGTAAGTGTCAGCTAAGCTTGGATGGAGGGGTAACGAAGAAGGAAGATGCCTGAGTGTCCTCGAGGCCAAAGAAAAGTTACGGGAAGAAAACAACAGAGACACACACTTGGGAGCGCTACACTTCTGCTCCCGATATTCGCCCTGTTTTCACCCAGCTCTCCCCCTCCTTTCCTTCCATCTCCAGTTGTAGCCTGAAGGTTAGCCCCTTTCTCCCTACACATCCATGGCTCTGGTGCAGCTTATTTGCAAATCCAATCCAGGAAGCAATAAACAAAAAGGCTAAGGAGTAGCCACTGGAGCCTGGATCCAAGCCTACATTACACTTACAAAAATTTGACTTTCCTTAGAAAAAATATTTTGACTCCTACATTTTTGGACTCCTTTCATTAGAAAGATCTGAAATGGATGACACCAAGCTGTTTGCCTAAAATAATGCCCCAAGCCTGAACTGGCATGGATATTTCCTGAGATTAAAATAGAATCTTGTTTTGCTAACACAAAACAACTTGGAAGTCAAAGAGTCATTTAAGTTGAAACCATTATTTTTCCTATTGGTGCAGAAAATTCCTGTTTTTAAGAGAGACCGGGATAGTGAGGTCACTCTGCCACAGAACTTTCCATTAAAAGTTTGAAGTTGAGAAACCTCGAAAAGAATATAAAGACGGGGGGAGGGGGTCTGTAATGTAACAAAGCCATTCAGTAAACATTTATGAGTACCTTAGACGGTGCCGGGCAGCGTTCTAGGCACTAAACAAAGAACGCGCCCTTGCAGAGTTTGCAGCTTTGCATTCTAGCAGAAAGGAGACACAAACAAGAAATGAGCAGGTTAAACAGGAAACTGAACGGTGAGTGGTACGGAGAAAGGGCAGGGGGAGCGTGGGGGTCGCAATGTTACACAGGGTGATCATGGTTGGTTTCCTCCAAGAGGTGACATCTGAGAAACGACTGAAGGAAGTGAGAACGCGAGCTCGCAGATGTCCAGGTTCAGGCAGAGGGAACAGGCGTCCCGGCCTAAGGCAGGGGCACGCCTGGAGTGGTGAGAAAGGCGAGGCCACGGATCGGGAAGAGAGAGACAGGAGGCAGGCCTGAGAGGTACAGGAGACGGCAGCTCACGGCCCCGGAGTCGTTCGGGGAGGGTTTGGGAAGAGGATGACCGATGTCTTGACGTGCATTTTAGGGTAATCGCCGCCTGTTTCCACTTGAACACAGTCCATTAGTACAATACACTTCAGCCCGCAACTACAGAGCAGTGACGGCTTCAAGCGGTTTCTGAACCCTCCCGCAAGACCAGGACCGCCAGGCCCTCCTCGGAACAGCCCTCCCTCTCCGGCGGGCACGCGCCCGGGACGGCGCCGCGGCCGCCCCTCGGATGCGCGCGGGTCGGGCCCGCAGAGACCGGAGCATCCTGCGCGTCCCTCCAAAACTCGCCCGGAGAGCCGAACACTTCTTTCGGTTGGTTACAAAGCAAAACATCTGCCTCTGCCAACTCTGCGGGAGAAGAAACCCTGGGGCTCGCCTCCGCTCCTCTGTCCAAGTCGTGCTGTGGTTTCCCTCATGGAGACACTGCGCGGCTCCTGCGCCCCCCGGGAAAGCCGCGCTCGCGCCGGGCACCACCTGTCGGGGCGGGCCCCACCTGTCGGGGCGGACCCCGCGGAGCGCGCACCCCGACCCGGGCCCCTCTCCTGCGGCTCCCCTCCCCCCAGCGCCCCCGCTGCCCCTCGCCGGGCGGCCTCGCCGCTCTCCTCCGGGCCCGGCGCTCGCCCCGCTTGGCCGTCTTCCCGCAGCGCCCCCGCCCAGGGCCCCGCGCCTCGCCCCGCGCCGGGGCCAGGAGGGCGGCGAGCCCAGGCCCCCTGCTCCGCCCCTCTCTCCTCCCCTCCCCTTCCCTCCCCGCGGCGGCGCAGCTCCCCCTGCAGCGCCTCCCCTCGCCGGGAGGGACCGGAGGGGCTCCGGGCGCCGCGCCGCAGACCCGCTCCGGCCGCTCCGCGCTCCGCCTGCCCGTGGCCGCGGGGTCCGGCGCCCGCAGCTCCGGGAGCCGAGCGGGCGAGCGCCGCGCACCGCGTCCTGCCCCGCGCGCAGAGGCGCCGCCGGGCCGCGCCGCCCGCATGGACCTGCTCGTGGCGCTGCTGCTGGGCGCTGCGCTCTACCTGCCCGCCGCCGCCGACTTCGACGCGCGGTGAGTGGGCCCGGTGCCCCGCCGCCCTCCCCGCGCCCGTCCCGCCGTCCTGGGCCTGCCCGGCCTGCGCGGCCCGGGGGCGTCTCTCCGTCTAGGCCCCGGCGTGGGGAGCCGGGCCGGGCACGGGGGCGAGCCCGGCGTCTGGGCCGCTGAAGCGGGGTGACGGCGGGACCCCTGGCCGGGGAGCTCCCACCTGGGGCTTAGACCGCGCTCGTGGGACACCTCCCCGGGGCCGGGCTGGGCCTCGGCTCGGAGCTGCCTCCCGCGCGCACGGAGGTGGGGGGAGCGACCCTGCTTCCAGGGACCTGTCCGCCTCCCCACCTGGTGTTCCCCGGGGAGGAGAACTCAAAATAAGGACCGAGAGGAGGGAACGCTACGAGTGTGTGTGTGTGTGTGTGTGTGTGTGTGTGTGTGTGAGTGTGAGAGTGAGAGTGAGAGTGTGCACGTGCACGCACAGCTCCCGGGACGAGCCGACCGCTGCGTGCTCCGACAGGTTCCAGCGCCCGGCCCCGGCTCCGCTGTCACTCAGCCTGCTCTCCGCCGCCGAATCCGCCCGGGCGAGAGAGAGTGTGAGTGTGAGTGTGTGCGCGTGTGTGGGTGTCGGTCTGGAGGGCGCGCTCGGGTACCCCCGCTCCGCGTAACCACAGACCAGACTCGCCTGGAGCGCGGATCGCGGCAGCTCGCGCAGAAACCGGAGGGGAGCGGCCGGGAGCGCCTTCAGCCGGGGGCACACCGCCTCCGCCGCCCCCTCGGCGCCACCCCAGCGCCCCCGCCCGCCGGCGTCTCCGCGCGCCGCCCGGAAGGGCGCGCACCTGTTTGACCTGCGGTCTTGGAACGAATCAGCCCCACGATTGACCGGCTTTCTTGTGCCTGGAGGGCAACCGAGGGGAGCAGTGGGGCGCCGAGGAGAAGCGCAGGTGCTTGTTTACCAGCTGGTCGAGGAAATAGAAAGTTGGGGGTTATTTTGTACTTTGGACTTGGGGGCAGAAGGGGGAGATAAAGGGAGTTGAAAAGATTAGGAGAGTTTAAGAAAACGTGGCTGCGGCCGGAGGCTATTTCATTAAAGCAGTACTTGGCCCGCGTTCGGGGATGTGGTGCGTTTCTTGCGTGCACAGTGACAACAAGAAATACGTCACGTGATTATGCATACGATTTTAAAGTAGCTTTAGAAAGATGTCTAAAATAGCCAATTAAAATATTGATCCTCTGGGGGAAAACAAGGAAACGATTTACCAAATAAGGCGTCACAGCGAAATCTGGTGGATAAATCGGTATCCTGGAGTTGAACACTCTCTCGAGTCCTTATTTACGTTAGAGGGAAGATAACCTGAATTGCTGATGCGGGAAAGTCTCAGACCACAAGGACACTTGAGATGTTAGCTGCGTTTTAAACTCTCCGTGTTTTCATTTCGACTTCTTTTTCTAGTAAATTTTTTTCTGGGAACTTTTTCTGCCAAAGAGTCATATGTCCCAGAGTTTTTGGGGGAACCTCCCTCTTTCTGCCGCTTCCCACGTCTACCCTTTATATAAGGCAGAATTTTTTCCTCTCTGCTTTGACATATCTAATATGATTCAACACTTTTCAGTTTATGACGAATCAGAGCGGGCTTTCCCTTCAGTAACAGGTGTGGGTCTTTGAAGACTATTTTGTTTCAGGCTTCAGAAAGCAGCCTGTGGTGGCAGCCTTGAGGATTCTCGGCTTTAGCTGGTTCTATTTCCATTCCAGAAAGGATGCCCCCTCCCTCCTTTTGTCCCTGCTCCTGTGTGTGTTGGGGGGGAGGGAGGGTGTTTGTCTGAAATTTGAAATTAGATCACAGCAGAACTATTTCCCCAAAAGCGTCTTATCCTTAAATTTCTGCAGGCATGAAGGAGTTCATAGAAAATTGTTGGGTGTGATTTAAATTTTGTTTCTAAAATAAAAACAAAGAGGAAACTACTTTTAGTTTCAAAAGTGCCCTTATTTATTTTGAATCTTTCTGTTTGGTAGGTGGCCCAGGCAGATGGTGTCGTCGGTTGGCCTGTGCCGTTATGGTGGGAGGATCGACTGCTGCTGGGGCTGGGTCCGCCGTCCCTGGGGACAGTGTCAGCGTGAGTATCATCCCAGGGCCTTCAGCTCCCCGGAGGTGGGCTCTCCACCAGCAAGGCCAGGTGGGGTGGTTCTGACATGGCGGTTTCAGGTGCCCCCGACTCCTTATTCTGCCCCTTTCCAACCTGAGCCACCTGCAGGAAGGGTCAGTTTGGAAAGTCACAGAGACCCACCGGGGATGCTCATTTTAGCTTTTGTCCCCAGTATCTCCAGCTCCTGTTTTCTCATCAGGCTCACTCTTTTGGCTCTGGGTTCTGAGATGGGGGTAAGATAAGGAGTCTAGACTGTATTTACACTAAATAAACTCTGACTCTGAGAGCACTTAGAAAATCCTTACCTTAGCTATCGTGTAAAGTGGCCTATTTGTAAATCTTGTTTGGAAGTGAGATTGTATTGACTGTGTTCTAAATGGACCACCTGGTATAATCAAAGAACAGCTCTGAAAAAACATTTTTACGTTCTATGAGTTCTGTGAACGTCATGTAATATGTCAAATCAGAACACTGATTTTTACCTTTTCTATGATCACAAATGGATATTTTAATGGTAGAAATCAGAGCCACATCACAGAAGTTTGAGAAATTTGTTCCCAGTATTTTATCTGGACCTCAAAATTTTATCCCACTCCCCCTTGAAAAAAAATCCACAAATGATCAAGTAAATTTTGGGGGCATCTTTACAGTGCTAGGTTGGCGTGTCTGGTGAGAGGATGGGAGCCAAGCTGGCTCCATAGATCCCGGTGTTTTATTGCTAATGAGACAGGGGCTTAGGGGACTGGAGGAGGGTAGTTAAGAAGGGAGGAACCTGCCTCGGAGCTCTGTTGGTAGTGTGAGGAATCAAGTGAGTTTAAGTTCAGAGAAGTTAGGAGTTCTCTCAGCTGTTTTAATCTTTGAGAATAGCAGGCGATGTCTGTCCTGAACTTTGTGAAGAAGGGAGAGCGACAGTGATGGGTCAACTCTGTAATTGCACATGTGGGCTAATGTTCTGGTTAGGGATGGAAAGTAAGGAGGACCAATGTTTGTCTGCCTGCTACCTGCAAGCCACCGGGCCAGGGTTTTTACACAGTTGTGCCATTGTATCCTGCTGTAAAGGGTGATGGTGGTAAATCCAGTTTCCAGCAAACAAAAGAACTACGCACAGCTGCTGTGCCCCTACTGGTTAGTCTGCTCAACATTGTTGTTAAGGGAAGATGATCAAAAAGAAGAAGGGTAATCTGGTATAGTCTTCTGCCCGTTACACCACAGGGTCAGAGTATTTGCACAGTGGGAGCCCACAGGTGTGGAATGTGACGAGCAGTCAGACTTACCACAATCAGAGGGTGAAGAAAAGACCCTTCTCCTGGCCCAACTCACCTCTCCCAACACGCACACCTGCCCAGTAAAATAGGAGTCATTCCTGTGCAGGAATGGAGAGAGTTTCCTCCTTCTTTGCTGCCTTAATTTGCAGGACACTCCCAAAGAAAATGCTGAAGTGCTTTAAGTGTGCCCAGTGCCCAGCCCTCCCAGGACCAGGCTGCTCTGGCAGAGTGCCCGGCGCATGGTGGAGGGCCCTCCCTGCGGGCAGCACGCCAAGAGTCGGCAGAGGCGTCAGAGTGGATGCGCGCTCTGCCAGATGTGATGGGAGCATTCCAAGCAGAGACTCCTCTATCCCCCTCTGTCTCTTGGAGGTTCATCAACTGTGGAATTCCCCAGAAAGAGCCTGTGGGAGCTGTCCTATGTGCCTGTACCGTGTAGTTAGATTTTCTCTGATATACTCCAGCCTAGTGATCCTGAATCTGATCCTGAATCTTCAAAGTTGCGGTGACATTTCAGAATTCAGACATCTAAGTGATTTCCTAGCATTTCGCTTTCTGCACAGTAGCTTTCCCAGCAGATACAGGACATTTTTAAGTTATTTTCTGTGCCTGTATTTTATTTCCAAAAGATTGCAAAGCGGTCAAATATAGTATTTGATAATATTTGTCTTTTCCTTCTTGTTATTGCTCAAGAATCTAAGGAAACTGCATCATGGCATGAGTTAATTATTTAAAGGGTCGTGTTATAAAAATGTGTAAGACGACCTGCACAAATCAGTTTCTCTTGACTTAAATTTGGTGAAGGTTTGAGAGGCAGCATAATGGAGGGAAACGTGGACGCTGGAGAAGGACTGCCTGGGTTCAGATTAGCTGTGTGACCTTGAGCCAGTCATTCAGTCTCTCTGTGCTTTATTTTCCTCATCTCTGAAATGGATCTAAGATAGTATAATACCTCATAGGACTGTAGCAAAGTTGAAATAAGTTGTGATTTGTAAAGCACTTTTACAGCCATTCCTGGCACAGAGTAAATACTACATACGGGTTTGGTGAAATTAAAGAAATGCACAGGAATACGGCTACTGAGATGGTGTTGTGGGATGGGGCGTACTGTGCTGGCAGGCTCTGCTTCTGGAGGCGTGATGTATGTATTTTTGCGTTTATATTGCCAAAATAAAAAACGGTTCCAAGGTTCTCTGTGTTGCAATAAAATAAAATGCCTTTAAATTAAAAAGGGCCAGATGGATCTTTACCTTTAGTCTTGTAGATGGCAAGGTTGTAAAATGAGTTCAGAGATGAGTGTTTGCTCGTGCGTGTTTTATTTTCCAGGGTCTTAGATAGTCCGATGGCCCCTTGTCAGTCCCGAGATCCCCATCTTTGTTTTGCTCTAAGCGGGCGGAGGGATGTGGGGGTGAGAGGTCAGCTCAAAATGGGAAGAACTGCCCCAAAAAGAGACTTGCTGGGAACGAATGGAAAACTCCTGATTAGTTTTCAAGAAAGCTTTTGTGAAATTAAAACCTTTGTCACTATATTTATCCAAGGGAAATGCCTTGCTGTCCTTTAACAGTTACATCTGGTAATGGATTACCTATAAAAATTCTGAAGAGCTTCTGGGAAATTTAACGTGGAAATGTTCTTGCCTTTCTGACCCTTTGACAACCTCAGGGCTCTTTCCCAGGAGGAGCCTGCTCCCTTCCTTATCGAAGGTGCTCTCTTTCTTGTTTTTCTGAATCATTTGCTTTGGAATTTTCCTTCAAGTTAGCACAGCAAAGCACAAGGAAACTGTCCCCACCGATAGACAGCACCTCCCAGTTTACCTCTTAAACGTGTGTGAGTTGGGGAGCCGGACCCTCATTATATTATTTATCAGACCTCATGCCCTCATGCAGTGGTCCTTTGGTGAGTGTTGATTCCATTTGGTTGAGCATTTGTGAGATGTTTTGACTCAACATTCATGTGAGCCAATGTATGTATTTACACAAAACATGCTGCCTTTCATTTTGGCTTGCTACCCTCCTTTTCATGGACTTGTTTGGAGAGACCAGTGAACATTACAGAGGGCTCAGCCGCCGCTCCTGGCTCATTGTGTCTAGCCACAAAGCCACATTCAGCCACACTCCTGTCCTTCCCTGTGGGACCAAGGGAGGAAGCATCAGAGATGCCCCCCAAACAGATGTAGGAGTGGTCCTCCTGCACCCTGCCCCGGGCATTGCGTGCCAGCGCTGCATCCCACCAGCCGGGGAAGCAGGACCTATTCCAGAAACAGGCAGCTTGTGCTTTCCTAGTTCGTGTGTTCATCAGAGACACTAGAAGACCCCTTGCCTTCTCTTGTCCTTTGATTCTTTGTTTTGTATTCTTGACTCGTCAACAATCTCTACATCCTGGAATTCAAAATGTGATTTTCTGGTTGTCTCTGGGCTTTGCCTTTATTGACTATTGATGTGGCTCTTTGTTGTAAAGGGAAATTTTCTTAAGGTGTTCATAACACACCGATGGTTACATATTTACAGCACACAGCAGCTTAATCACTGATTGTCACGAAATATTTGTTTCTTGCACTGTACTTATTCTATTCCTTAACTTTTCCATCATGTTAATGGCACACTTCATTTTAGCTGTTTTAATTTCTCTACTCCTACCAAGCAGAGAGCTCTGTCATGAAGATTTCTCAGGGTTTGTGTATTTTATTTTAAAAAGCTGTGAATGCTCTGGAAACAATACTTAACTGAAAGCATAGAACACTTGGGACCCTGACTCGAGCTGTGGCGCTTGTACCTGATTACCTGTTCAACGTTTCTCGGCTGCAGTTTTCTTATTTTACTAGCGGGTTTCTAGGTTGCGCCGCAGCTCTAAAGTCCATCTGGGAATTCCTTGATATGGGAGAGAGCAGATAGGCTCCTGCTGCTGTCTTTCTGCGGGCTGGTCTTTGTGTTCTTGGAGCCTTGGCCGCAGGTGTGGCCGGACAGTCGCGTTTCTGTTGAGAGCACTTTGCAGAGGTGTGAAGAGAAACTCAAAGCACTGCTGGTTCCAGGTTTCCATAAAGCTATTCAGTTTTTGAGTTCTTTGGGTGTCAGTGAGCATTTTGGGTTTCTGAAGGAAATTGGGTGAATTAGGGTGGTTTTGTATCATTTTTCCTGACGACCAGGCAAAGTGTAGATGTTTTGTTATGTTTCTCTGGAAATTTTAGAAAGATGTAAAACCTACCCGAGTTTGCCTTTGCTTCATTAGTTCTTAACCTCATTTCCTCCCACTCCCTCCCTGAAGTTAGTTAAAGCTACGGCTGTACAATTGCCATGCAAAGGGGAAATTTTGGATTCTTATCTATGTTAGATAAGCTCACAGGTTACTGCTGCATAGGGACCAAGAAGCAGTCATTCATTCTGAAACTACTTTGGAGCTCTCAAATAATTTTAGCTGGATAGTATGTATGCTAGCTTACGATAGTGGACCACTGGAAGGAATGATGGGCACATTCTTACATTGTTGAATTAGTTCCTTCTGTTTTTCAAATGAAAAGGTTATTAGTTTAACCAGAGAATTTCAATTTAATAAGTGAAACATTTAAATTTCGTATTTCATTCCTTACTCATATCTGGGTTCAGAAACTTAGCCTTGTAAATGGAGCATGGTTTATTAATTTTTGCTGCCTAGACTGGTGATTGTTTTCCTCTCTCTAGTCAAAAAATTATATAGATTACACCTGTTTTTTTT